TGGAAAACGACGATGAGATCGACGATGTAGCATGCACATTTAAATAGTGCCTATTCACTCTCGCCTTGAAAAGGTTCAAGTTATAGCGTTCAGGGAATATGTCTGCAGGCAGGGAATTCCACTCCTTTTGCAGTTTGCCATATAAATGTGGAAGCGAATTGCTTCGTGCGAATCTTTGGAATATCCACAACATAGGCGTGGAACCCCTGCCTACGGTGATGAAATGGGAAAGGCGGAATTAAATCATGTAATTCCATCGTACACTCTCCGTGACATATTCTGTAGAAAACCGATAAGTAGGCAAATTTACTGCGGTGTTCAAGGTTCTGCAGCTTTACCGCTACTAAATTCGAGTCTATAGGTATAGGTATAAGCCTTTTGGCACGCTTTTCTAGTGAATTCAGTGTGGCCAGTTGGTTTTTAGCAAAACCATCCCACAGGTGCCAGATGTACTCCATATATGACCGGACTTGTGCTTGACACAGTTGAAGCAACTATCGCGGTGTGAAGTATCGCCTCACTTCGAAAAGGATGTCAAGCTTAATGGCAGCATCATAAATCTTAGTAATCTTTAGTAGTAATAGAGCTCATTGTGAAAGAGTTCGTCCAGTGAAGTACTGCCACATTACCTATTTCTACCGCCACGCAATAATGTGAGCATTACTGCGTTCCGGTTTTGAAGAGTAGGAGTGCTGATGAAATACAGGCGCATGGGACATATCAACTTACATCTCAGCATGACGGGCGCAGCGACAGTGCCCCACAGATCTCTGCGATTTAAAGCTCTGAGTGGCACAGCAACTGCTATGGACAGACGTGTCACTTACTACGTCTGTCACTTACTATCATAAAAAAACTCATCTCGCGTATGCTCATCCCGGGTGTCTTGATACAGATATGATAACTACTAACAGACATGATACTTATTCCAGTAAAAACTCTACATCACATTGGAGTGTGAAGGGAATGTTATTCAAAAACCCACTTTAATTCAGAGAGGATTTCATTATGCTGGAAATTAAATTGAACGCGTGTGATCATTCGTGCGCCCGCGGACTCGTAATATGTAGATTTCATAACGGTAATGAGGGACCGTTCTGCTCGTTCCTCTAGAATGCAAATAACACTTCTTACTTTTTTGGAGAGTGCGTCGAATTTTATGAGAAATAAGGGTTTTATATTAAAAGGCTGTTTCTGGGTAAATCTTTTGTCAGGACAGTGTAAAATTGTAATTTATACTAGAATTTTAGTAGCAGTGATTTACAGGAATTGCAAAACGGTGCACATTTGCTACGTAGGAAAATCGATTGGACTATTTATATCGTGAAATAAAATCCAAAAGAATTAATAGGTACTAAATATCTAAAGCTTAAAACAATTGCCTAAAACATTTATAAGTAGACCTTTTTTTTTGCGATTTTGTTTTTCAAATTTCCAGTGACTTGTCATTTGGTTTATGTTCAAATGAATATCAAAAATAACGTTCTTAAAAGGTCATTTACAGTGTTTTGATATTCCTGACTTTAAATTTAGAAGTAACAAAAGCTGGCAACTTCTGTATCAGAGGTTCTTAAATAATCTCAACACAGTTTCTAAATAATTAAATCGTTATAATTAAATGTAAAATCTTGGGAGTTGTTGTAAACAAAATTTACTACATAAATATGTATGAGTATATTATATATATATATATATATATATATATATATATACATATATATATGTATATAAATACTTATAGGATTGTAACCCTACCTTTTTTTTTTACTTAGTCGACCTTTCCATTTATTATTTAAGGTGTCAACCTTTATAAGATATTTTATTGCTATCCTTCTCCAAGAATATCTAAGTAAAACTTACTTCTCGTATGTCAGAGCTCTGGAAAGATTAGAAAATAGTGCCAATTAATAGCAAACCAAGTTACTGCTAGGTTTAGTTCCAGAATAATGGGTGAGGGTAATTGATGTAGTGCATTAAGTAACGGCCGACGTCGCACGATAATGCCCGAGAATATGTCTTCGGTCTAGGAACAACATAAAATATCTGCGAAGTTGGTTGTTCCTTAGGGATATATGAACTAAATTTCTAAAGAATTTAATATTTTTTTCGTAACTGATCTGTGACTCTAATCTATCTACTCGAATCTAACATATGACTTATTATAATAAAAAAGACGTGAGAACGAAAAACACAATCTGCATAATTATAAATATTATAGCAGATTCAAATGACATAGGGCTGTTTTATATTGCCTGTTCGTCGATGTAGACGGTCTTCAAGCATGCAGATGTCAGAGCACGAGAACAACTTAACAAGGCCTCTCCTCAATCTGTTTTTGAGTCAAAATAAAGTAGCTAAATTATAGCAGCTTTAAGCAATTTAGCCACATGAGTTCAAAGTCAGAGACACTAACACGATAAAGCAGAATTTATTTTGAATATGGAACAAAAAATATTTCGATACACGCAAAATGTATTTGTTAAATACTAACAACCTCGAACGATTAGATAACTAAAAGCATAAACCACAAATTTATTTCATGACTTTTAAAAAAACAATAAATTTACAAAAATAAACTTTTTAAGTTTTTATTGTCCTAACCTTAGAGGATGGAAAAAAATTGCTTTCCATAGTCTAAGGTACTAACTGACACTTTTTAGGTCTGTATTTGGTAGTAAGTTGTTTAGCAACGCCTATCGCGCGGTTTTTTTTTGCTACCGCACAAAGTTATCACCAAAGCGATTTGTTTTAATATTTTTATTTTTGTACGACAATAAAATGTAACGAATTATTTTTTTTTTAAATATGACTTAATTTAAATTATTATTTTATTTAGAACATTATTTAGAACAAAAATTGTTGATTATGATGTTAGTATATACTATCCTGCGAGTTAGTTAATATTTTACATTTAACCCAGTACATTTTTTAAAAGTAAGCCCCCTTTGGAAATTATTCATCGTCTGTGATTCGTTCGCAAAAGTCCCTTAAAGGTTTTAAGACGACTTGAAAAATAAAACACAAAAGGCAACATCGACCAGTTTCAAATTAAAAGAAATTTAGGTTCGTTAACGTAATTCTCGGGGTTTATGTAATTTAAAATTTAAATTGTATTTTAATAAGTTTCTCTTTTCATGGTTAATAATCCGTTAAAAGAATTTTGTGAGTACCGCGATAACGAAAATTAGTATTTGTAAATAAATTCTTTCACAAAAGAACTGACCTGAGCAGTGGCGTTTCTGTTGATATCGAAATTCTGAGTGACTCGATGAGATGTAGTTAGGGAAAGTTACTACATACGTTACAGAATCAACACGCTGAAAAGCCAATCGTCTAACAACGAGCCATCAACGAACAGACAACTAACGGGTGAGATAACTTTTCGAAATGGGTAAAGTAGAGTGGAATCGTACCTAATGGCGTGAAAGTTAGGAAAGCGACACAATCTGTTATCCTATCATGTATCGTATATGAATAATAAATACCAGTGCTTTATTATACTCTGTTATTTTTTTCAAGACGGAGTAAGATAACAGTCATTTTTCTTTGCCTTTCAAAAGTGAAATGGATAGATATTTCATCTACAATGAGGTAAAATACTATTTATCACTTTTATACGTAATTCTAAGCGTTCGTTGGTACACAGATAAATGTCGTGACTTTTTGACGTCTCGACCTCATCTGTTAAAGGGCAATAAATAAAACAACTTTTCAAACTTAAAAAACACGAAAATGGATTATAAAATGTATTACAAAACGGTAATAAAGAACGGCATTATGTTCACAGCTAAGCTAAATCAAATTAACAATCAATCACAAAAAGTGTAATGAAAAGCCTAAAAGCGTCTTTACAAAATTCATGACGACATCGTAATCTTCAAACACCCAGCAAACTAGAATGGGAAAAGTGCTAAACGCCCAATGTCCTAATGCCTGTCCATAGCAGTTGAAATGCGTCTCAGAGCTTCAAATCGCAAAGATCTGAGGGGCACTGAGACATAAGTTGAAAAGTCCCATGTACCTATAATTTGACCAGCACTATTAGCCCTTCAAAACTGGATCACAGTAATGCTCACATTACTGCTTGTCGGCGGAAATAGGTAAGGTGGCAGCAGTGGCGTAGCGACACACACACACGCACGCACACACGCACGCACGCACGCACGCACGCACGCACGCACGCACGCACGTACGCACGCACTCACGCACGCACGCACGCACGCACGCACACACACACACGTACACACACACACACACACACACACACACACACACACACATACACACACACACACACACACACACACACACACACACACACACACAAAACACATATACACACACACACACACACACACACACAGAAACCGGGGGGCGAGCGCGGCCGAGCCTAACTAATTCAAATTATTTCTTTTGCTTAACATTAGAAAATAAATTTCCCTATTTGAGAAAATGATATCCCGAATAACACAAAGCTAGCGATGGCAGGGGAACATAACAATCGAGCCGAACCTGCTTGAACGAACTACTTTCGTAACCATGAAACAAAGGGGGCCCGGGCGGCAGAAATCGACGCTACGCCACGGGGAGGCAATACTTAGCTGAACTAACCCTTTTACAAGGGGCTCTCTACTGCTACTAAATATAATTATTATAATTATATAATTACATGCTTCAGGCCCAAGCATACTTATGCCCTCAATTTTGCATAAAAAACATATTTTTCTAGATAACTTATATAGTTTATAGAATACTGGTATAAGCGCTAAATTTGAATGCGATAATCTCATTATAATGGACACTGGGCACTTACGTGATCTCAGGAATTATATTGTCTATGTCTATTATACACATTGTAAGGATACACAATTATATCAGCAACGTGCCTAATTATTAAGTCGACAGACGTTATGTATGTCAAGTAACATAATTAAACTTTACCAATTTAATATAAATTTTGCAAATCTTTGCGCGCATCTTTGGAAACTTTTTAATTGAATTTAGATATGCTCGTCATCGAAGTTGTTTTTGAGAACGTCCAAAAGAGTCGAGTTTGGTGGCACCCACTCACAGCTCGTGCGCTGAGATGAACAAACCTGAAACAAAAGAACAATATCTTATTTTACTATATTATTGGCAACGCCAGCATATTCCGAATAAACGAATAGTAGAATAGTAATTTCACAAGCACCTTTATTTACCCTTCAAAACAGAATGCAGTAATGCTCACGTTAACGCTTGGCGGCAGAAATAGGTGAGGTGGCACTACTTCCCTTGACAATTTTTTTCACAAGGAGCTTTACTTCTAATATATATATATATATTAGAAGATTTTTCAACTTGAGTACTGGGTACTCCGCTTTAACACTCACAAGTAGCATGTCGTCTAAATACATCCAAGGACAGAAGGAGAATTGGAGAACTGAGTGAAAATGTGAGATTCAAAATTGCTTTACTAAATCATCTGTTTTATATATATATATATATTAACTAGTTAATGTCGCCGGAATTTGGAAATAAATTTGTCACTCTACTCTGCTATTCAGGGTAAGTATCAAGGGTCCAGTTGCGGACTCGGTAAATTGTGTATTCTCTGGGATATGTATCAGAAGGTAGCGATTTTCATCGATTGTTCCAAAGACATATATTTAACTTTTAGCATTTACAGTAAAGCGTCATGCGCCTTGCTATACGGAACTTTTACTACAATATTGAACACATTTAGCAATAGAATAATATATATGTATTCAAAATTAATTGAATCCAAAGTGAGAATCTAATATATTTGCAACTCTGAGACCGATATATTACCGCAAACCGAAATTACCGAGATTACCGAAACCGCAAAGCAGAGAACATATAAAGTTAAGTCAATCGATCTAACACTACATTTTCGGGTACTGTGTCTTTGATTTCCCTTCACTAACTCCTTTGTATGAGTCAGTAACATATTACAATGTCACATTAAACATAGAACCCCAGTGTAATTTTACATAGCACTAGGGAGATTTTCAGGAGAGTCTACTAAATAGTTGGGAGAACTAGTACAGTCTATTACAGTCGGATGTCCTAGGTTTGATGCTGACTGAGTGACCAGCACCACTCAATTATTTGTGAATCTTGTTTAATTTAGTAATAATCGTTCTTCAAAAGTGAAGGATATCATCGTTTTGAAACATGCATCTCGGAAGTTAATGAAACTTTTCGTAATCATGACGACACAAGTCCCGCTACTGCATTGGACGTGGGGAACTATGGCGAAGCCCGATTTTTTAAAACAGACCTGTGTTCAGCAGTAGATAGGTTAAAAATATTGATTAACATTAATAATGTAAATTTATTTCGTGCTAGTCCTCAATGTCTATGACATAAGCCGGGAGAAGGCAACGACAAACTTAACTCATCAAGTTAGGCTAGGACTTAGTTAATTTACAGTAACAATTCAATATGTGCAGATGGGAATAAGCTCGGTCTATCAGGGCGTACCCAAAAAGACAAAGTGGAATGAAGAACTAAGGTACCTTGACCCCCAGAATTGAATTCTGTAGTAACGAGAGATAAGATGCATATTTTCGATGTAACATCGTTTCCACCGAAGTTTACACGAGTAAAACATTTTGTTTTATTTTATTTGCTTTAGCAATTTCAATTAACCTCTGAAATTATATAATTCCATTTCAACTAATTGACATGTTTTCAATCAAATAACCAGTATTTATCTTTGGCCTTTTTTACCGTTTGTGAAGCCGTTCCTGCCAGCACGCGGAATTTGTTTTAATAAAAAGAAAAACAAACCCGTTCTTTTCCAATTTTAACTTTGCTATTTGAATGACTTGTCTGAAAAAGACTGTAATTATTTTGTATGCTTCCATTGACTTACAATGCTTCTTATGCTTTTCCTCTGTGTCTTGTTTTTAAATATAGTTGTAATTTGATTGTGTTGTAATGCATATTGTTGTTGACTTGCGTTGTATTCTGAATCTTAATCATCGGGAGTACCTAATAAAGATATAATATCATGTTATCGCTGAACAAAATATTTTTTTAAGTAAAAGAATCGGACACATCCTACGTGACAAACTACCATGACGCTCATTTCGTTTAAGCCTATAGAGTCTCTTCACAATACGAAGCCACTCAGAGACTGAATTTACCTCCCTGTATGATACACTATAGTTGTTTATTGATTTTGTTGTACAATGGAGAACTAATACTGAAACAGATGATTTAGTAAAGCAATTTTGAATCTCACATTTTCACTCAGTTCTCCAATTCTCCTTCTGTCCTTGGATGGATTTAGACGACATGCTACTTGTGAGTGTTAAAGCGGAGTACACAGTACTCAAGTTGAAAAATTTTCTAAGTCAAGAGTCTCAAACTAGGGAATTCCCTGTACTTTGAACCCCGTATCAATTTAGTAAAGTTCTTTTCTCCAAATTGGTCCTACCGAGAATCCAATCCGGTACCTCCCCATTCAGTACTATAACAGGGAACGTAGACTTGGGCTTGCGTAGAGGTACTTTTAAACACAAAACTGGGATATTTCCATGAATAAATATTTATTTCATCTTTACTGATCGAAGCCTCGTCTAGAACAACCGAGATGTTTTACATCTTATTTTTTTAATACCATTCTAAACACAAACCTATGTTCATTCAGCCACTGTTTCTACTCTCAGAGTACCGCCTACACTACAGTACCTACAGTTCAACTATACAGTACAGTACTGTTGGGGACCGAGGTCTTCAAATATTTCATACACAGAGGTCTATTAAAACTTATATTTTATACGCTACAACCACAAGAATTGCTCTTCGTGGTCTTCAAGGCGCAATATCAATGCTCCTACCAGATGCTCCCCAGGTTGTAAAACAGTATGAAGTTTTAGATTGCGCTAGCGCATTTATTATTTTAATTAAGACTCTATTTTCAAAACTGAGATGTCGGCACCAAATCTTAGTATTTTCAAAACATATTATTAATTTTTGGGTGCAACTTTTCGCCGATTCGATGTATGTGTTGGTTTTTGATATTGTGCACTGTGATTATGAAATTAGTAATGGTGCAAGGATAACAAATTTATTTTATCTACTTTGAGGGTAAGGAGATCACTCGCAAGCCAAACTGTGAGTCATTATAATCTTAGAGTTCTTATGTGAACGGGCACTTCAGTGTTACGATGGACAATTATTATAGCAATAGTAAGTTTTCTTTTAAGTCATTAATATACATTGAAAAAAACTTAAAGACAAATGTACTACCCTTGGGAACACCATATATGAAAGATATGTAGCGTAGCCTAAGACATCATCAACTTTAATCCATGGTATAACACAATGCACAGCAACAATGTTAAGTTTATTGGCAACATTGAACGCCGCTTGGCAAGGTGACCGAAGTCTGGATACCGCAACGCCAACGAGGCAAGATTCATCTTGCGCAACTTATTATGTCCTATGCAGTACCTGATCATAGTTTAAATTTAATTACAACTTTCTAATTAAAATTTGGTAGCAGTAGAGCTCTTTGTGAAAGAGCTCGTCCAGGGTAGTGCTACCACCTTAACTATTTATCAGGCTCATGGTACTTGTCTACTTATGATTCAGGGTGATGGGCGCAGTGGCAGTACCCCTCAGGTATTTGCGATTTAAAGCTCTGAGTGGCACTGCAACTGTTATGGACAGGCGTGTAGATTAACATCAGGCGCACGGCTTGTTCGTCCCGTAATTTGATATTATAAAAAAAACTTGGTGTTTTATGTTGGAATATAACGTTGAGAGAAACACCCTCGTAACTGATTTGGTCAGGAATTATTTGATAATTGGCCCATTCACTTTTCATTATCAATTCGTTTAGTCGGTAATGAAATAAAGTTGCAATTAATTCGTTTGTCCACTTTTCACAGTAATTAGTTCGAAAGTACAAAAGGTGGATCCGGTTCAAATAGATTTCAAAGGTCCGGCAGCAAGTTCACTTGGAACAGCCGCGCTCGGATTTTCACGTTCCAAGTAACTCTCACAAAACGCCCTTTTACATTACACTTCACTGGTTATTTTCGCAACTCTACCAACGACCATCATATCATAGGACTACGCCAAAGGACTGATTAGACTAAACAGATTCAAACTACAACAGCGCCACCCCTTCTGCGTCCTCACCCAGTTTGAATTGTCAACTGACCTAATATTGGTAAACAAAGAAACCATGATCGAACTAGTTATTGCAATTCGTAAATAGCTTAGTAAATCGTTTCTCTAATAAATTAGAAAATAACACGTTGCGATCCTATACGCGCTCGGGGCGAGACGAGCGGGAGGACACACGGCCTAACGTGACGTCACTACGAGCGTCAACAGCGCAGTGGCACTCGCCTTATCGGCAGCCCCTGGCGATGGTCGAGCCTACTATAATGTATTTGCAAGCCAAGCTGTATAATTGAGACGGCGAATATGCCAGCTCTATAGTAATATAATTCACTTTTTATTTTACATCTCATTAGGACCAGAGCCTATGCACACGGCGTATTCGCGCATATGTATCGCGCATTTAGACAAAACATAGTTTTAAATTTAGTTTTGTTTGTTAATTTCAGTTAGTTTTTTTAAATGAAGCAACTACATAAAATTCTAAGTGCAAACTCCTATAAGCTTCTTGCAACGCGACGTTTGCGCGCGTTTGAATCGATGCGCTACATCGCGGTTGCGGCGAGTATACGTCCAGATAAACTAGCGTTTTTGAAATGCGCGTAGTCGACGCGTATAAGATGTACCGTGTGCACAGCGCTCTAACATACGTGATAACATTAGCTAATATTTATCATTTTGTAAAGCACATTAAGTATACAATAAACCGAATTCCACCACATTTGAAGTGACAACTGGCTCTAAGTAAATATGTTCTGTATATAGAATGTCAAGCAATTCAGATGCTATATTTAGGTAATAAGTTTTTAAACATTGTGGCGTAACGGATACGAAGCTTTTAACGATTGCTGTGTCCCTGTGCATACTATGTCGCAATACACTCAGATAATGCAGCATATATATTTATACCATGTATCTTCATGCCATGATACTTTCGTGAATTAGTATATAA